ACTAGGGTCGCCCCTAGTCCAAAATTGAAAATGTATTTCCTACTTGGTTCTTTATTCAAAAAGATTTCGAATTTTTTTATTTGTATTTGTTTTAAACATTAAAATATTTATGCAAAGTTTCAATCCATTTGGATAAACCCTCGAAGAAAAAAGTGACAAAATTGATATTGACTAGGGTCGCCCCTAGTCCAAAATTGAAAATGTATTTCCTACTTCGTTCTTTATTCAAAAAAATTTCGAAATGTTTTATTTGTATTTGTTTTAAACATTTAAATATTTATGAAAAGTTTCAATCCATTTGGATAAACCCTCGAAGAAAAAAGTGACAAAATTGATTTTGACTAGGGTCGCCCCTAGTCCAAAATTGAAAATGTATTTCCTACTTGGTTCTTTATTCAAAAAGATTTCGAATTTTTTTATTTGTATTTGTTTTAAGCATTAAAATATTTATGAAAAGTTTTAATCTATTTGGATAAACCCTCGAAGAAAAAAGTGACAAAATTGTTTTGACTATGGTCGCCCCTAGTTCTTTGCTCAAAAAAATTTAAGGATGTTTTATTTGTATTTGTTTTAAGCACTAAAATATTAATGCAAATTTTCAATCTATTTGGATAAACCCTCGAAGAAAAAAGTGACAAAATTGATTTTGACTATGGTCGCATTGTTCCAAAATTGAAAATGTATTTCCTACTTAGTTCTTTATTCAAAAAAACTTCGAAATGCTTTATTTGTATTTGTCTTAAGCATTAAAATATTTATGCAAAGTTTCAATCCATTTGGATAAACCCTCGAAGAAAAAAGTGACAAAATTGATTTTGACTAGGGTCGCCCCTAGTCCAAAATTGAAAATGTATTTCCTACTTGGTTCTTTATTCAAAAAAATTTCGAATTTTTTTATTTGTATTTGTTTTAAGCATTAAAATATTTATGCAAAGTTTCAATCCATTTGGATAAACCCTCGAAGAAAAAAGTGACAAAATTCATTTTGACTAGGGTCGCCCCTAGTCCAAAATTGAAAATGTATTTCCTACTTGGTTCTTTATTCAAAAAAATTTCGAATTTTTTTATTTGTATTTGTTTTAAGCATTAAAATATTTATGCAAAGTTTCAATCCATTTGGATAAACCCTCGAAGAAAAAAGTGACAAAATTGTTTTGACTATGGTCGCATTGTTCCAAAATTGAAAATGTATTTCCTACTTGGTTCTTTATTCAAAAAGATTTCGAATTTTTTTATTTGTATTTGTTTTAAACATTAAAATATTTATGCAAAGTTTCAATCCATTTGGATAAACCCTCGAAGAAAAAAGTGACAAAATTGATTTTGACTAGGGTCGCCCCTAGTCCAAAATTGAAAATGTATTTCCTACTTGGTTCTTTATTCAAAAAGATTTCGAATTTTTTTATTTGTATTTGTTTTAAACATTTAAATATTTATGAAAAGTTTCAATCCATTTGGATAAACCCTCGAAGAAAAAAGTGACAAAATTGATTTTGACTAGGGTCGCCCCTAGTCCAAAATTGAAAATGTATTTCCTACTTGGTTCTTTATTCAAAAAGATTTCGAATTTTTTTATTTGTATTTGTTTTAAACATTTAAATATTTATGAAAAGTTTCAATCCATTTGGATAAACCCTCGAAGAAAAAAGTGACAAAATTGATTTTGACTAGGGTCGCCCCTAGTCCAAAATTGAAAATGTATTTCCTACTTTGTTCTTTATTCAAAAAGATTTCGAATTTTTTTATTTGTATTTGTTTTAAGCATTAAAATATTTATGAAAAGTTTCAATCTATTTGGATAAACCCTCGAAGAAAAAAGTGACAAAATTGATTTTGACTAGGGTCGCCCCTAGTCCAAAATTGAAAATGTATTTCCTACTTGGTTCTTTATTCAAAAAGATTTCGAATTTTTTTATTTGTATTTGTTTTAAACATTTAAATATTTATGAAAAGTTTCAATCCATTTGGATAAACCCTCGAAGAAAAAAGTGACAAAATTGATTTTGACTAGGGTCGCCCCTAGTCCAAAATTGAAAATGTATTTCCTACTTTGTTCTTTATTCAAAAAGATTTCGAATTTTTTTATTTGTATTTGTTTTAAGCATTAAAATATTTATGAAAAGTTTCAATCTATTTGGATAAACCCTCGAAGAAAAAAGTGACAAAATTGATTTTGACTATGGTCGCCCCTAGTCCAAAATTGAAAATGTATTTCCTACTTGGTTCTTTGCTCAAAAAAATTTTAGGGTGTTTTATTTGTATGTTTTTTAAGCATCAAAATATTTATGCAAAGTTTCAATTCATTTGGATAAACCCTCGAAGAAAAAAGTGACAAAATTGATTTTGACTAGGGTCGCCCCTAGTCCAAAATTGAAAATGTATTTCCTACTTGGTTCTTTATTCAAAAAGATTTCGAATTTTTTTATTTGTATTTGTTTTAAACATTTAAATATTTATGAAAAGTTTCAATCCATTTGGATAAACCCTCGAAGAAAAAAGTGACAAAATTGATTATGACTAGGGTCGCCCCTAGTCCAAAATTGAAAATGTATTTCCTACTTGGTTCTTTATTCAAAAAGATTTCGAATTTTTTTATTTGTATTTGTTTTAAGCATTAAAATATTTATGAAAAGTTTCAATCTATTTGGATAAACCCTCGAAGAAAAAAGTGACAAAATTGATTATGACTAGGGTCGCCCCTAGTCCAAAATTGAAAATGTATTTCCTACTTGGTTCTTTATTCAAAAAGATTTCGAATTTTTTTATTTGTATTTGTTTTAAACATTTAAATATTTATGAAAAGTTTCAATCCATTTGGATAAACCCTCGAAGAAAAAAGTGACAAAATTGATTTTGACTAGGGTCGCCCCTAGTCCAAAATTGAAAATGTATTTCCTACTTAGTTCTTTATTCAAAAAAATTTCGAAATGTTTTATTTGTATTTGTTTTAAACATTTAAATATTTATGAAAAGTTTCAATCCATTTGGATAAACCCTCGAAGAAAAAAGTGACAAAATTGATTATGACTAGGGTCGCCCCTAGTCCAAAATTGAAAATGTATTTCCTACTTGGTTCTTTATTCAAAAAGATTTCGAATTTTTTTATTTGTATTTGTTTTAAACATTTAAATATTTATGAAAAGTTTCAATCCATTTGGATAAACCCTCGAAGAAAAAAGTGACAAAATTGATATTGACTAGGGTCGCCCCTAGTCCAAAATTGAAAATGTATTTCCTACTTAGTTCTTTATTCAAAAAAATTTCGAAATGTTTTATTTGTATTTGTTTTAAACATTTAAATATTTATGAAAAGTTTCAATCCATTTGGATAAACCCTCGAAGAAAAAAGTGACAAAATTGATTTTGACTAGGGTCGCCCCTAGTCCAAAATTGAAAATGTATTTCCTACTTAGTTCTTTATTCAAAAAAATTTCGAAATGTTTTATTTGTATTTGTTTTAAGCACTAGAATATTTATGCAAAGTTTCAATCTATTTGGATAAACCCTCGAAGAAAAAAGTGACAAAATTGATTATGACTAGGGTCGCCCCTAGTCCAAAATTGAAAATGTATTTCCTACTTGGTTCTTTATTCAAAAAGATTTCGAATTTTTTTATTTGTATTTGTTTTAAACATTTAAATATTTATTAAAAGTTTCAATCCATTTGGATAAACCCTCGAAGAAAAAAGTGACAAAATTGATTATGACTAGGGTCGCCCCTAGTCCAAAATTGAAAATGTATTTCCTACTTGGTTCTTTATTCAAAAAGATTTCGAATTTTTTTATTTGTATTTGCTTTAAACATTTAAATATTTATGAAAAGTTTCAATCCATTTGGATAAACCCTCGAAAAAAAAGTGACAAAATTGATATTGACTAGGGTCGCCCCTAGTCCAAAATTGAAAATGTATTTCCTACTTCGTTCTTTATTCAAAAAAATTTCGAAATGTTTTATTTGTATTTGTTTTAAGCACTAGAATATTTATGCAAAGTTCCAATCTATTTGGATAAACCCTCGAAGAAAAAAGTGACAAAATTGATTTTGACTAGGGTCGCCCCTAGTCCAAAATTGAAAATGTATTTCCTACTTGGTTCTTTATTCAAAAAGATTTCGAATTTTTTTATTTGTATTTGTTTTAAGCATTAAAACATTTATGCAAAGTTTCAATCCATTTGGATAAACCCTCGAAGAAAAAAGTGACAAAATTGATTTTGACTAGGGTCGCCTCTAGTCCAAAATTGAAAATTGATTTTCTTTGGTGTACTTTTGTCAAAAAAATTTCTTGGATGTTTAATTTGAATTGACATAATTCTGACATAAATCACATGCCAATATTCTTTTTTGTAATGCATAGCTTAAAAAACCGAAATCTAAAATTTCGACTACCCCATCTGAATTTTGTTCATACTCTTCACTGTGGAAACCAAAAAAAATTCTTTATCTTAAAACACTTGACAAAATAGCGACATAATTCAGGGTTAATTACTTTTTAATAATATTTTAACATTTACGAGAAAATGTGGTTCAAATAAGTGTGAAGTATGGCCGAGATTTGGACCAAAATCAGCTATACTGGTTCATAGTGTTCCCGAGGGTGACAAAATTCAAACTAAGTGTTTTTGTAGCTGACATAATTATGACATGAATTAGGTATAACTTTTGAACTGTGTCGATATGGGTCTCGGCCGTACTTCACGCCCACATTTTTTTGATACTATAGCCATTCATTGAAGGTTTCTAAAGCTCGTCTTATTACTGGTTACTGCTTGCCAAAACCTATATGAAATGCAATACTGTATATCAACCATTTCAACCGCTTTTCATTTGTTTTTGATCGTCTAACATCATCTCTTGCCATCTACAAAGTCAGACTTGATGATCTTACCTCTTATTTAAAACTAGATTTTATTTAATTTTTGAAAACAAATTCAAATTTTAAGAATTTAAATTTTCTTAAAAAAAGACAAATTTATAGATTTTTTTTGACATAATTTTATTTCTTCACTTACTGAATAATCTTACATTTACATTAACATCATTATTTTAATTCTATTATTTTCCATTTCCACGTTTTAAGTTTTATCTTTCATATAAAGGAATAAAAGTTAAATTGTTTTTTTTTTTTTTTTATCTTTCTTCATTAATATTAAGTTTCTTCATCATATTTGTCTTGTAAGCGTTACACACAATTATTATCATCGTTTTTCATGTATTTTTTTATTTTTTCACCAAAATTAATTGTTAATAATAATAATAATTAAATTTTTTTTTTGATATGACTTTTATATGTTAATCACAGATTAGCAACAAAGTTTTGCCATGTGGACTAATTGTTAATTTTTTTTACTTTGCTTATTGGCATGAGCGGAGCGGCATGTAAGTATTAATTTAGTTTTTTTTTCAGTCCATTAAAATTTTCAATTAAAAAATTTCTAAATTTTGGGCAAAGTTCTTTGTCGTTAAGTACTTAAAAATAGCACAATAAAGTGTTAAATATTTAAAATACAGCTTTTTTCATAATTAATAAGTTTTATCGTCTTATGTTTTACTTTCTTCATTCCTTCTGGTTTCTTTGTTGAGCTGGAAACTGCTTTGATTACTGTTGATGCTTTTGGTGTCTAGTTTAGATGACCTGATCATTTTTAGGATATAAAATTCTTAGCAAAAATGGAAATCTGTTGATTCAATTGCAGCAATCTACTTCCTATTCTGTCAGATGTGTTAATGTCTGTCTCGAGTTAAAGTTAAGATCAAATTCATCAAAATTGTCGAATTTAACAACATATTTTCATCGTCATGGCTTCCATGCAACTGCTTTTGCCCTACTTGTATCCTTGTATCCTACTTGGACCTTAAGTGCAAATTCAAGTTAAAAGCACGACAACATCCACTACAATCTAGTCATTTGGTAAGTGTTAAAGCAAAAGGAAGATAATTTGGACGTTTTTGAGTCTTAAAAATGCAGCACATTCGTTAAAACTGTTTATAAAATAGACGACGATTCTATGAATGTCTACGCAGATAATTATTGTACCAAATGAGAGAAGCAATGTCAAAAAATCACAAGAACCAACCATACAGTCAATATTAGATTCAAAGAAATATTGACCATCTACCCAAACTTAATAATTTACTTTGTATTCCTAAACTTCATCCTTATCTCCTCAGAGATTAGGATGTGACACAGCCCTAAAAACCATCAATCAGTAATCAAAACTTTTAATTTCCAGCTCCAATAAAGTAATGTTTTTGAGTAAGAATTTGACGGCAGTTTGTAGAAAATAACATCTTAAAATCTTATTAAGTCTAGACGGCAACAGGCTCTGTGGAAATCAATTGTCATTTCCACTTAGCTTTTTGAGCAAGAATGTCTTGTCTCAGGTTTTGAGAGAATACGATTCCAAGGATCTAGATTAGATGATGAAAAAGAGATTGTATTGTTAGGATTAAGTTTATAGCTTGGAATATTATTTCTAAATAAAGAGATGAGAATCTAGAGCTGGTTGCTACGGCTTCTAAGAGCTCACTATCTTAGGATCAAATATCAGCACAGCTGTTTAAGGAATTAATAAATAGATAGCTTTAGAAACTAGCTCCATATTCTCATTGTTTGAAATTCAGATAAGTCAAGGTTGTGGAGCTGATGAGTTGATTTTTATTGTTAGCCTCAACAGCACCATAAGAGAAGTGCATGTCTCAGCACAGTACAGGTTCACCAAGACTGATTTCAATTTTTTAAAAATGCAAACATTCTCAAATAATTATGTAAAAATGAATAAAGCTTTCAAGAAAAATCAACAGAAATATTTAAAAAAAATTCACCTGGAAAAACAAGCACAAAATAAAAATTGTGGAAATCATAATCAAATTTTCCTCCATCAGTTCCTCGCCAGTTTGAATGCAGCCTTTATCGTAGACAATTTTTGACACTTCAAGGTTCTGTATTTGATTTTTTTTATAGATTTTAATTTCAAAGTTATGTGATTGGATAGAGTTTAAAAAATAGAATTGAAAATGTTTTAGGTTTCAATAATTATTTTTGGGTTTGAACTTTGGAGCCACGGCAAAAAGTAATGCTTTTACAGTAGCTGATGGCCCATAAGATAGCTTAGAACAGGCCATTTGTAACAGGAACTCGTTATAAGCTGTCGACAGATTTTTAAGCGAAATATGAAACTTTGGATATTTTAAGGCAGTGCATTTTAGTCTATGCTTTACTGTGTGCCACTGTCGGGTCCTAACAGAGTTTTTACTATGCATAGTTATTGAACGATTTTGGAGAATTTTTCAAAACTCGCCAAAAAGATCATTGAAACCTCAAACAAAAAATTGAAATTAAAAAAATAAACATTTACATGCAATAGTGCTTCATGCTCATCCAATCATCCATCAATTGAAAGCAAAATTAAGCAACCAAAAGTTACATTTATTTTGTCTGTTCACCCAACCTTTGTTATCATGATCAGTATTGCTACCAGTACGACATAGAAGATATTTTCCTCAAATAGACTTTCACCAGCTTTAAGACAGCCTTTCTCATAGATGTAGCGTTCAATGTACTAAGCAGATAGATGCGTTAATTATAAGCAAATGTTATTTCAAGTTTGATAGAGTTTTTGGGAAAGAATTTTAGTTTTATAGAAAATCAAGGCATAGACACTCAAAATTATGCTGGGATAGTTCTGGATTATTAAGATTATTTGGGATTATTGGGATTAATTCCAGTGTCCACGCCTTGTAGAAAATTGAAGAATAATTAGAGATTTTTTATTTATTATTTAAAGATTGATTTAGCATTAAGTTGCTAGCTTTTATTATTTGACTAAAGATTTGATCTTGTTTGTTCAAGTTAGAATTGTGGTAAAAATATTTTGAATGCCACCAGTTAAGGCTAAATGCTCTAGAACATAGCTTAGCACTGTATTTGTTAAGCTAGAACTGAACAGTAAACACTCATGATTACTTTTATCAATATAATGAATGGCACAAGTCGGTTAATCGATTAGAAATCTGGCATCGAACCGGTTTTATCATGGCATGGCGCTAGATTTAAATCGAAGGCAGCAACACGTCAGAGTCACACCAGCTTGGCACCAGATTTCTTTTCGATTAACCAACTTGTGCTATTTGTGTTATAAATTGTCTTGTGAATCTAACTTGTGCACATCAATACCTAAATCCAATTAATTCTTAGTCTTCATTATTAATTATTTCGATCTTTCACCATAAGCTAATCAACATTTATCTACTTACGAATCCTTCTTTTCTCACGTCATATCCACATTGCTGAAATTCACAAAAATCTCAAATGTAAATAAACCAAATCACACTTCAATCCACATCCAACTTACCTTATTCGTAATTATATCATTTGTGTTTGTTTTACAGCATGAAAAAGGAACACCACACGCCTCTCTCGATCCCAAAATACTGGACGTACAATTAAAATACAAATTTTGATCCCAATCCGATGGACCGTCAATGCCGCAACACTCCCACGACGATTGAAGCCAATCGATGAGATTCTGTTGATCGGGATCCTCCCTGTAATGCATTATGAAGCCTTTAAGGCCATTTGTTGCTTGACTTTTGATCCATCCTTTATCTTTAAGTATAAAAACGAGGACACCGAGGAAGATTTCAGCTATGAGGAGGATTATTAGGAACCATGTGTACTGAAATGAGATGGAAATAGTTGTTGATTAGTGGTTGTATAGCTGTTGGGGTTGATATTAAATGCCGTCAGTAGATTGAGTCTCAGGATACTTTGATATGTGCTAAAAATGAAGCTAGCACTTTGAATAAATGGAAGCTTTCACTCAATCATACCTCCAGTAACTTGTGCCTCGATATGAGACAACAATGGTTTATAAAATACAACCATCTTAATTATTAACACCAAAATCCTTGATTCTTGTACGAAAAACATGCAGAGCCAACATTTTAGAAATGCCTGAACACTAAACTCACTATATTCTTGAAAATTGAACGTCATTTATGAACAACCTCATAGTTAAGATGACTCATAAGTCATGTTAATCAAAAACTTACTAAAGACAGGAGAAAAGTATTTTCACGCAGCGATCCAACACATCCTGTAAAGCCTACAATGAAAATAAAATGTCAATTCCTTTGTTCTCAATTTTTGTAGCGAGAAAATTCCAAGCGAGCAGAACAACAAAACCACAGTGAGAAAAAATAGGAACTCACCAATAATAAAAGCAATTGACCCAAAGATGATTCCAAAGAATGCTGGATCTTGTAAAAAGATTTTGGACGAAATATTGCTAAAAACATTTTTCTCATTTAATGCCCAAACGCCTATCGATAAAATACATAATCCAAATATCTGTAATGATCAACAATCAGTCAGTTTGTTGTTTACCTTCAATAAATAAATAAATCTGTTTATTTAAGGCACTCACCCAACAAACAACATTGACACTAAAAATTGAGTATTTAAGAAAACATGAAATTTCAGTTCGATCGCGACGATATCGCTTAATTATTCTATTTGGCATGATGAGAATTTGTCTTAATCTAATGGAATGTTGTGAATTTTTTTGGCCTACTACACTAAAATTGGCTACACAAATTTTTTTCTCCTCTATTTGTGCAAAAAATTTCTTTTCAGCTTTTTTTTTGTGCAGAGAATTTTTTTTTTATTTTTGTGTGTTGAGAAAAATATTTGTTGAGAGAAAAAGAGAAAAATGAGCATCTCGGTGCTTAGATGTGATGCGAAATTGATTTGAAATTACTGTCGTTTGGTATTGGAACTGATTTTGTGAGCATGATTTGGGGATTTCTTTCATTTTTGTTCCTTATTGTTGAACATATGGATAGATTGATTGATATGGTAAGGTAGGTTGAGGAGGTTTTACACATAGCGTTTTCAGATTAGGACCTTTGGAAAGGTTCTTAACCGGAGAATGATCGCTTTTGCCTTTGTACTTGGATTACATTGGCATAAGCAGGCTTATCCTTATGCAATTAAGTTTTGCTAGCCAAAACTAAAACCTAGCTGAAGACAATATCTAGAAATAGTTAATATTTCTTACCTATATCTAGGCAGTACCTATCTTAGACATGCCTTTGACAAGACAAAACCTATAGTCAAATCATGTAGGCATTAAAACAAAAATAGGTCATACATGAATCTAACATTGGTTTTACCTTGTCAAATGCATGTTTATGATAAGTATATTTGCCTATTTCTAGGCAGTGCCTTTGACTTGATACTGGTTTTGAATAGGCAAGGCTAGAAAAATGGTAAATTTTGACGGTCATACAGTCATACAGCCAGACAGCCAAAAACCCATACAGCCCAAAAGCAAGAAGCTAGCATAGTCCATACTTTCCTTTCGATTTTAATATTTTTTTTTCTATTGTAAAATTCCAATAAAAATGTAAAAATTTCTGAATTCAAATTTTCCCGCGTCTCAAAAACACCCAAACACACATAATCCCCGAGAACCTCTCAAATTCTATTTCGCATCTCTCGACACAGAACCGACGCAAAACCATCAAAAGTTATATAGAAAAAACGAGAGAGAATATAAGAAAAAAAATGTAAATTTTCATCCCGAAACGAAAAGAAGAAAAAAAATTTTCAATATTAAAATTTTGTAAGAAGAATAAAAAGTAGCTAAACATTAAGTCGCGTAAGTGAAGGTCGTTAATCGACTGGTTGATGATAATACGGAGTTAATCAACCAACGATTGAGTTTCAGGTGAAAAACAGGATATTTGCAAAGCTCAATTTCCAAAAGAAAGAGAGAAAAAAAAATTTGAAATTTTTTTTCGTCATAATTTTTGAGGAGCGGAACAAAAAAAAGTTTTTGGACATTCGTGACAACGCTGAAGATGTAAAGAAGAAGAATATCTCAAAAACATCAAAAACAACCGCAAAAAAGTCAGTTAAAGAGTCGAAATAAAAATAATAAAATTGTTGTTGTTTTTCATTCGATTTTATTTTGTTCCTCGCACATACATACACAGACAGACAAGACACAAAACAAAGAATCAGCAAGAAGTCATTAAACATTCACGCTGTGCATCCAAAAGAGTGTGTGTGTGTATGTATGTATCATTGAAAAATCTAATTAAATTAGTGATAAAATCATGAGCAATAAAGGTGCAACGAATGAAATTAATCACATAATGGATGCGGCTTCGTCAAATACAGCAAAATCAATTATGGCTGAGGACGTGCAGACGATTAAGCCTGTCAATGCAAAACAGGATTTTACAAAGGCCGAGTTACTTAAATTGTTGAGTTATATGGAAGGTGAATTGCAGGCTAGGGATATTGTTATTGCTGTACTTAAGGTGAGTTATTTTGTGGAATAAATTTAATGTTCAGGCTCAAATATCCTTGGCTATGAATTTATTGAATAACTTTTAAACTGATTATGAACTATAAGTGTGTCCATGTTCCTATGAAGGAAGAGGTTTTAAACTTTAAACCTACCACAATCGAAAATTTGTCTCAATTTTCAAGTATTTCCAGCAATATTAATAAAAATCCTCAATAAGTTCAAGATACATCCTAGCCTTCACCCTGACCAGATCAATTCTAATTATAGAATTTACCACACTAGTGAAGCTAATGCGTTTTTAACTCGCTACAACTTCTTAATAAAACGACACAATTAAAACAAAATTAATAAATTTTCAATTTTTAGTCTGAAAAAGTGAAGAACCTTGTTAACATAGCAGCTTATGGAGCACCAGTCGAGAAAGTGAAACTCAATGATCCACACGCAGCATTATTTCGTGATAGTCTCGCCCTATCGGGTAATGTAGCTAGTCGTCATACGTCTGCCATAGCCGCACAGTCAGAGCGTGATGCTCGTGAGTTGTGCGAACAGCAATTGCTTGTGTTGAGTCAAAAGGTTGATCAACAGCGTCAAACGCATGCAAAAATAATCAACTTATTAAAATTTACACGTGACAAGCATTTAAAAGTGATGCAGGAGCTTGAGGAGGAGAAAAAGAAGAATACATTAGATGTTCCAAAAAGTACGTCCAATGCTGAGCAATCAAAATTACAAGAGAAATTAACCGAATCGGAAGTATCAAAAGAGCAGCTTAAAAATGAAGTAAAGAAGCTTAAAGAGTCGCTGGAAGCAGAACGAACTGAACATAAAGAAATAGTCATATACTTAATGGAGGAGCGGAAGAAGATGAACATGATGAGAAATGAGGAACGAAAGAGAAGTGAAGATTTGGCACAGATTTTAAGTGAAGAGAAACAGCGAGTTGACACAATTGCTGATGGACTTGAGGAAGAGACCAAGAAGTCATTGAGATTAGAAGCTGAGATGGAGAAACAGTCGCAGGTTCATGATCAGGAGCGAAAGATGATGTTAAGGAATGTTGCTTTAGAAGAGAAGAAGTAAGACTGATAGCTAGTTCTGACTTAAGACTATAATTAATCCTTTATTCATATTTGTAGAGTAAAAGATCTCGAGACCGAGATAACAAGATTAAGAATAGAAAATGAAGCTTTAAAGAAGTCAGCTATGGCTGGCGGTGCAAATCCAATGAGTGTAGCTAAAGTCATTCAGCCAACGGCAACAGTCTCAAGTGTTCCTGTTTCTGGACCAAGTAAGTTGTGTGGAGAACAAGAAAGGATAGGACTAGGATAAGATTAGGATAGGAGACTAGGATAGGGCTAGGATAGAACTAGGATAGGACTAGAGTGGGGAAACAGGATAGGGGACTATGATAGGACACTAGTAATAAAAGATTATGTTGATAAAGGATATGTGATGGTTATAAATACCAGATTATCAATTCCGAAATTATTGTCCATAAAAGGTTAATATAAATTTATTTACTAATCCATATAAACTTATTTTTAGCAACTGGAATAGCACGATCAATATCTCCTGGTCAAGTGCTACGTCAAGAGCCAAACTCATCGCCAATAGCCACAGGTTCATCAAATGTTGCAACAATAATTCGAGCGCATAGCGTTCAAGGAGGACCACCTCAGCCACCAGTGAAGAAATCAACATTTGGGAATTCTAATGTAGCGCGAGTTGCGCCACCAATTCCACCGAATAAACCAGTAATTAATAAGAATGCAAACACAGTAGCTGCAAATAGATCGATCTCCTTCCTACAGTCGGGTACCGTACCGGGTGTGTCATCGGCAGCTCAAGCAATTGCTGCGCAAAATGCAAAAGATGGTGAGGAATAATTAAAGAAATTTAGTGACAAATAAATTTAATCTTATAATTTGTTTATAATAATAGTTGTATAATGATTTTGTAGACATATTCTAAGTCTTGCGATGCTCTTCTACTCCAGTCTATTGTTCTTCTTTTACACATACACACACCCTGATGATAGATGGCAACATATTTTAATTTTAATTACTTAAGTTAAGTTTTTTAGTTCAAAACATTTCATATCAATTATTATTTTTTTTTTTATCAAATCTGTGAAATAATGAAAGCTTTTAAGGAGGTCATTCTAAAGTAATTTTGATTTGATGCTGTGGTATAATATAAGAATACTATTTTAGTATTACTTAAAGATACTATTTTAGTATTACTTAAGGATACGGTTTTAGTATCATTGTTTACTATTTTAGTATCATTGTTCACTATCTTAGTATTACTGTAAGGTTACTATTTTAGTATAATTGTTTACTATTTTAGTATCATTGCTTACTATTTTAGTATCATTGTTCACTATTTTAGTATTACTGTAAAGTTACTATTTTAGTATCATTGCTTACTATTTTAGTATAATTGTTTACTATTTTAGTATCACTGTTTACTATTTTAGTATCATTGTTTACTATCTTAGTTTTACTGTAAGGTTACTATTTTAGTATCATTGTTTACTATTTTAGTATAATTGTTTACTATTTTAGTATCACTGTTTACTATTTTAGTATCATTGTTTACTATTTTAGTATATTTGTTCCATCCTAGCATGCTTTTATAGTACTAATTATAGTGCACTATATTCTGTATACAGTATACTCAAAAGGGTAAAGATATATGTTACAAGAATGACCTCGTAGGATTAATAACTTTATCTATACTTAGCCACTCGAGAAGAAATGACTTAGTTAAATTCAAATATTTTTGTACAATAAAAGTGACTTTATAATTTAGATAGATTCTATTAAGTTACAAATTCAATTTTATTTTCTGTTTATTACATATCTCATCTTACATTTTGTCTGAGCAACTAACAAAACTTCATTTCCAGTTTATAGAGAGCATTTAGTCATTATAATTATAAGATATTATTTTTCCATAACAAAAAAAAATATCACTTCATAAAATGTACAGTATTACATAAAATAATAGAAATAAAAATTATTCGCAAAATTGTGAAAATGTGAACAATTTAAAGGAAAATAAAATAGATGAAGCTAAATAAATATTATTTGATCGCATTTATCATTTCATATTTAATGAAGATTGATTTGAGATCGGCAAATGAATTTAAAACAAAACATAATTTTTGGGTGGTATTGCACAAAAATCTGATTTTGAAGCTGTTAAAATTTTGTCCAAATTTTTTTATAGTTCTGGAAAATATTTCAATAAATCTCATAAAACTAAACTGTCACAATTGAGCTTGAATTCTTTTAAACCATAGACAACTTATAAAATGAAAATCGAGACAAAATATTGTAAATATAGTTTTTCCAAACTCACTCAATAATGCCACGAATAGTAATATAAATAAAAACAAATACAAATTCAAATTAGGGACACATTTAGTACCTTTTCTAATCAATAATTTTTTAAACCATCTACGAGTTATCTTTTTCGTATTGATAATACTTGAAATAAATTGCAAAGGATATTATAACGAACTTTATAACTTTACAAATAATTAGTGGCATAGGAATTGGAGGCAACTCAAGATTCTTATCTAAAAGATACACAATCCGGACCTAAAATGTGTCATTGTTGGAATCCAATAATATTGATAAAAATTTAAAAATAAAGAAAAACAAAGCCAAGGCATGGAAACTCAGGATTAATCCTAAAAACTCCCAAAAATTCTAGAAAAATTTCAAAAATTCTAGAAAAATTTCAAAAATTCTAGAAAAATTCCAAAAGTCCTTAAAAATCCCTGAGCTAATAAACATGAAAATGTGAAATCTCTGAAGCATTTGATGAACAATTTTGAAATTTAAAGGATTTCACATTTTCATGTTTACTAGCTCAGGGATATTTTTAATGATTTTGGGATTTTTCAGGATTAATCCTCAGTTTCCAAGCCTTGACACATGCGAAACATTCAAGATTCAATTTCTCTTTTTTTTTAAAAAAAAAAATAAAATAAAACACATAACTTGATATGAAACTGAACTTCAATATTATGAGAAAAAAAATTAAAAATGCTATAAATATTTATCATAATGTTGTAAAGTTATAAAATATATGGACAAATACTTAATATATTATGTAATAAAAAAACAAAAACCTAGGATGAAAATAAATTATAACAAAACTGTACGAATGATAAAAAGAATACAGAATTTGTAGATTGAATATGAAAAAAAAAATCCAAAAAAGTTGAAAATAAAAATTGAAAAAACTATTCCCAAAAATATTTTTGTTTAAATTTTAAGCATGATTTTGTTACTTATTAATCATATACAGTAAGCTGAAGTGGCTCGGTCGTGGAACGATTTAGTACTCCGGTACCTAGTTATTGCAATAAACCGACACACAATCATAGGTTTGAGACTTCATATGGGAAATTTTTCACTTGTCCTTTTTCGAATCATATGTACTGGGATAGAGGCTCACAACCTTCCTTTGTAGGCTACAGACAGACTTTCGTTAAAGCTCTCATAAGCTGCGAAACACCCTAGGGCACCTCTTGATCACAATAGATCTGAAAAGGTAAAGGTTTTTTTAGTCATATTCGATAGAGTGCAAGGGTACACAACTTATCAACTAGCTTTTAATAGTTTCATATCTTTTTTATCAGTTCCACATCGTCGTACAATGATCTGAGAACTTTAAATTAGGGTGTCTGGAATCCAGACTCTGGATGTCTTTTTTTTTTTCATAGCGATTCCTTTTCATTGCTGTAAGTACTGAAATAATATTTGAGAATCTTAAGAACTCATCTTAGTTTTCTGTCTTAATATACTATTTTATTACCTTAGTTTACTATTTTAGTATCTTAGTTTACTAATTTAGTATTTTGGTATATTATTTTTAAATAGTAACTTTGTGCAATATTTTATTATTTTCGTATACACACAGTTTTTGAGACACAGTATACTATTTTAGTATCCTAGAAACTTTATTAGTATATTTATATATTATAGCTTCATAGTATGCCATTTTACACTTTTTTATCCAGGCCTGCAAATTTTTAACGAAATGAATTTAAAAAAAGTTTAAAACTTCAGATTTTGCTGTGAATATAAGTTCTAACTTAAAGTTTTATTTTGTTCTAAATTAGTATTTTTTGATGCTTGTCTTTAAAAATTGAAAGATAAAAAATTTCATTTCAAAATTTTGTTCCAAAAATTTAATTCTTTCTTTTCAAAACTTCCTCCAAATCTTCCTTATCAGCATGGATAGTCTTCATATGCTTCCTCACATAGTACGGGTCACAAAAGTTCTTATCGCAATAATAGCATTTGGAGACAATTCGATCTGGATTCATTGTGCAGTATTTGACGTGCTCATTCCGATGTTTATTTGTTGAAGAATTCTTCATACAGAATGGACAGTCAACTGGGTTTAGTTCCATAAATCGTCTGTGTTCCTTGCTCCTCACAACATTGTCAAGTTTTGTTCGATGTCGACTTATTTCAATTCCTGATGATACTCGTGTAATTCTTGGTGATTTTTGGGCTTTAAAATGATGAAGTTGAGGAAGTGAAAATCGTGGCCTTATTGCAGGCTGGGTTGGCGGCTCTATATCTGGCTGTTCATAATCTGTTGAACAATTCATGAATTCACTATCTTGTAGTAACTGAACGCAATTTTCATCATCGTCAATTTTTTCTTCTTTAATTTGAATCTCACTGAATGAGTCGGCTCTTCTGCGATTCGATGTAATTGTGGCTGTGGCTGGTTTAAGATGTGGTCTTGTGTCTTCTATGTTAATTTCAATTTTAAGGGTGTTGAGGATCTTTTTGAATGGTGCAATGTCATTGTCTTTTATGTCAACTTTACCACAGTATATGTATTGCATGAGACTTTTTAGTTGTGATTCTGTGACGTCACTGAGGACTATTGCTGGATGTTTGTCGGGAATGAGGGCGAAGATTTCCTAAAATTGTATAAGAAAATTAAATTAATAAGATTTTAATTATGAAATTTTAATTTAAAACTGTTTTAAAAATTTAAAAAGAAATATTAACATTTTTAAAAAATTTAAAAAAATACAAACAATATTTAAAAAATTTATAAAAATTCAACAAATATTTAAAAAACCTTAAAACATTTTTAAAAATTGAAAAAAAAACAAAACAAAATTAATTTCAATTTATCAAAATCTTAAAACATTTTTAAAAAATTAAAAAAACTTAAAAGAAATTTAAAAAATTTTAAAATATTCAAAAAATTCAAAACAAATTTTAAAATATCAAAATATTTTGAATTTAAATCAAAAGAAATAGAAAACCTTAAAAAGTCCCCTTTTCCCAACGATTGAAAGGTTCAATTTTAACAAAGAACAGTAAATGTTCACCATTTACTGGAATTTCCGGAATTTTTGTTCCGTTCTCATCGTTTTGTGCATGCTCGGATGAAAAAATCTATATTTTTTTCCTCAAATCCACGAGAAAAACCGCAAAAATAACTGTACACTAATACAATGTCACACAATATCCCGGAAATTTCCATATCTGATTCTTTTTTCTGAGAAAAAAATTTGAATACTCGCCAAAAATTATTTTCAATTGTAAAATTGTCTCAATAATGAATTTTAAGGAATTCCTCACTGTCTGGCTTTAAAATTAATTTTCCCACCAAAACTCAATAAATCTGAAATTTTCCGGAAGTTCTGCGCAGAAAATTAAAGAAATTCAAATTTACCTCAAAATATGTCGATGCAGCTGCCAAAATAACTTTATGTGCCTGAATAACATGTCCACCAGCAATAATTGTCGCATCCACAAGCGATTCCCGATTCAAAAATTCATAATATTTTAAATTTAATGTTGGCTGTTTCCGATTGAAAGTTACCATGATGAATTTTTTTCGGATTTGTGGTCAGAATTTTTGGATTTGAATTTTTGTTTTAGAAAAATTAAATCAATAAATTATTTTAACTATGAATCTTGATGTGCTCTGTGACCTCCTGGAAGAAATTTTGAGTATGAATTGTGAATTTCAGTCCCAAAGTTGAGACTTTATTTAATGTTTTGGATTTTTTAAATCTCCACTTCCTCTTTTTGTTTACAAAATTTTTACTGCAGGTAAAATTCGTCGAAAACTTTTTTATTCCATTCTGAAAACTAATTTGAATATTTTGTAACCGTTATTTTAATTTTTTGTGAATTTTCTTAAAATTCTGATTTATTAACTTTTTTTAAATTTGCTGACATTTTTAATAATTGGATCATTTTTTTGGGGGGTCGTTCGTTAATGATGACTACTCATAAGATGGATTAGGTAGTCAATATTAGCACTTTTGACACTGAAATTTTTACTAAACACAAACTGTGTACGCTTGGATGTAGCCAAGGGTAAGTGAACCCTGAGAAATACTGAGAAACCTGCATCAATTCACTTTGATCCATGCAAGGAACACATTCAAATATTATGTAGATCATCTTAACTTTATCCCTTAGGTTCCTTATGTAGCCCCCAACTTATTACTGTCTTAATTCTATTGAATAAGTTCCTTCACTAATGTTTTAAGTCTTAATTGACTTTCCATTCTCATCGATTCCATGAACCTTCCTAATATGAGTGGATATGTACATTGGATTACACAAGACCATTGGACAGAATGGACATTGAGAAGCTGGTCGACTTGGATTTTTAAAGCAGAACTTTTCATGTGCATTTCTTCGTTTGTTGACTGTGAATGCTTTATTACAGTGCGAACACTTGAAGACTGGCGATGATGACTTTTGTTGTCTGTGCATACTTTGTGTGGCTATCATTGGTAAAGAACCTGGTCCTCGTACTCCTTGAATTATTTTAATTGGACTTCTTTCAGACACAATTGATCCGTCAGACTTTTTTACTCGTCTTATAAGAATAGCTTTGCTTAAACGTTTGCTAAGTTCTTGGATATTCTTGTTTGGCGATGTTGAAGACTCATTGACTGTCACTGGGACATTGTCTGGTGAATGTAGCTTGTTTATAAACTTTATAGTCCTTACAATTGGCTCATTAATCTTAATTTTCTCATTAATACTTGCTGGTGTTCTAATTCTGATTCCTTTCATCTGATTTGGAGTTGCTGGTAACTGCTTTATGTGAGTGACATGAGCTACTTTTAAAGTACTGTTATTTACTTTGATTGGGATGTTTTGTTGGATTGTACTTGGAATTTGACTGATTGGCTCTTCTTTTACTAAAATGTCATCCCATTCAGGTTCTGACTTGATATTGATTCCTAAATCTTCTTGTGTCTCTGATTTTGAATCTTTTTTTTCCTCTTCCACATCTTCATCTTTTTTGTGCTGTTCCTCATTCTCAATCAATTCAAAGAGTTTTTCATTAAAATCTTCCGACTCATTACAATCTTGTTGTTGATTTTCTGTTTCCATTTCTTCCTCATTATCCTCACTTTCAGCCTCATTGTCTTGATATTCTTCTTCATTTTCAAGATCGTCTATTGAGATTCTAAAAGATTCTAGTGTAGCTTTGAAAAGTTGTGCTTCATCTTCTGGAATATTCACAGCACCAAGATATATAAACTCTAAGATGCTTGTTAGTTGTGTAATTGTGAGATCCTTAACTACTATTACTGCTTGCTTGTCTTTTATGGTGTCGAACAATTCCTAAAAAGTAAAATAATTTTAAAATTGTTTTTATATTTTAAATAATGGTGAGAAAAAAAAATTTAAAAAGTATAAAAATCAAAAATTGTCAAAATCGTAATTTAAAAAGTCAAAATTTATTTTAAAAATGAGTATTTTTTTTTAAATTGCAATTTGTTTTTGAAAATAATGAACAAAAATTAAAAAATATCTCTTACCTCAAACCAGCTACTAGCAACAGCAAGAACAACTTTATGTGCATACAGAAACTGCCCCTCAGCCGAAAATGTAACATCAACCATAGATTTTTGTGTAAATAAATCAAAGAATTTTCTATTAAAATCCGGTGTTGGCTTTGAGAAGCTTATCAGTTTTGGAGCACTCATGTTAAAGCCTCAAATTCTATTCTCAGAAATTTGAGTCGCAGTTGTTGTTGTAAATTTATATTTATTTTAATAATTTCTTTTTAATTGGTAAATCCGATGATTATTTTAAAGTTCTTCTTGATCACAACAATTGTCAATGCTGGATGATCACAAACTAATATCAATAAACTTAATTTACCGCCTTTTATTCCAATTTTAAAAAATAATTTAATCTCATTCACTATTCGGTCGAATGTTTACAATGTTTTCGTCCACATTGAATCTCAATTTCGTATAAACTGATATTTTCATCTAGTACTTGAATTTATGCGCGAAAACAACCACACAGTTTCGTCGAGTTTTTGAATCTCAAAAGGTCGTTAGGAAAAAGTTTGTGATTTTGGTAAAAATTGTAAATTAAGAAAAATATTTTTAAAATTTATTCTTTTAATTTGAATTTTTGTCATTTGATTGGTGAGATTTTTGAAAACTTTTAAAATCTCATAAGCTCAAAATTAAATTATATTGTGTTTGTTGTTTTACACATTTAAGTACATCCTAGTAAACCTAGCAAAGGAGAAACTTTATGTGCCAAAGACCTCAAAACTACTCCCAACATACGAACCAAGCTTCGTAACGAGAATGAGAAATGGAAAAGAGCTTCTAAATCTTGACTTAGCCTGAGATTGAACACTGATGACATTTCACCGCAAATAATAAGGCTCCGGTTTAAAGTTTATTAGCACTATAATCAAAACCATTAAAAATAATAATAATAATAATAAAACACATCTTGGATTTTCTTGTGCAATATTGGTGTTTCAAAGAGCATAATTTGAGAACCACTGCACTCATGTGTTACCAAAACCTCCAAGTTTGTTGCAAAATGTTTCATGGCGCTTGTTTTATTGGATTAGGTAAATGAGCCCTTACTTGCATTTTATGATTACGGTTCGTTCGTTTTTCCGTCAACGCATTTTGTTCTTGCACAAAAGTAAGGCAGCGATAGTATTTCAGCAACATGTTTCATGCTTGGTAACATTTACTGCTTTGAGTAAAACCTTATCAAATGCTTTTAATCAACTAATCAATTTCCACATTGTAAAGTAATTTTGGTTTAAACAATTATGTCCATTGTACTCTTTATTCATTTGTGTTCAGTGTTTCAAATTGATTTAGTCATATTTGTGGCTCAATTCTGATCCAAGTGTTAAAACTCCAGAAATTGAAAAATTAATGAATCTTAAGTGAATGAAAGCAGTAACTTGAAAATAAAGCTGTCATAATGAAAAAACCTTCAAAAACTCCACCAAAACTATCAAAAAACATTTGGACAGAAATAAAATTTTTTGCTTCATTTTTCGATCGATTTGGTGAAAAATCTTCACTTCATGGATTCAAATACATCTTCAGTTCAAAGTTGAACATTTTTGAACGACTAATGTGGCTCATTCTTTTCATTCTGACTTCATATGCTGCATACAGTATCTCGTCAACGCAATATGAACGATATGTAGCAAATCCAACTGTAATTTCACTAGAAAGAGACTACAGAGAATGGAATGGAACATTACCGGCCATCACAATTTGTTATCACAAAAGAATCGACGATAAACGAGCGAAAGAAGTGATTAAAAAGTTGTGGAACTTGTCAGAAACTGACGATGATTTTCAATATTTTTATGACTTTATAAAAACAATTGTTTATTTGAATGAAAGCTTCAAGGATATTAATCAATTCACAAATGACAGACGATTGGATGACATTGATTTGCTAGGACTTGCTAGAGATGTACATCCGATATTTAACAGTGTTGTGTCTAGTTTTGATTCAAGTGCTGAATTTAAACTTAATGAAGTTATTACTGAAAAAGGAATTTGTTATACCGTGAACTCTGTGTTGTGGCCATTGATGAGTACAGGGTGAGTGACAAACGTGCTGAGGTAGCAATACTTATTTCTATTAGTGTCATCAAATCAAATGTCTCAAGATCAACAATTGTTTTTATTTTATTCACTTTTTATTCTGATTCTAATTAACCTTAACATTCATTGTCTACATCACTGATAAGACAGCTGCCTTAATAATTAAAATTAATTATCATCTACATATGCACAGCTTTCCCGAACTTTTAATTGGAATCTTTTTCTTTTCGAGGTTTTAAGGCTTTCTCGGACCATTCTGAATATTTTCAGCATTATGTCACATTCACCGACATTTTGTCTTAAATCAACAATCCTTAAATTCTTTAGTGCTGTAAATCTGACGTCAATGTTTAAAATTTCATTATGTCCAAGGTGAATTTCCTCAATTTGCTTGTTGTTCCTGAATAATTTGTGTGAGACTTCCTCAAGTAAGTTTCCTTCAGCGATGAAAATCTTCAGCCTTGGTGCATTGCTCAGTAAATCAGATGGTAAGTTGTAAATTTCATTATATCTTATATCCAAAAGTTCCAAATGCGGCAAGTCATAGAAAATTTCATGGCTGATTTTTCCAATTTTATTAAAGCTCAAATTAAGCTTTTGAAGCTGCCTCATATCCATAAAATCTCGTCGACGTAGAAACTTAATTGAAGATTTTCGAAATAAGAAGTGCTTCATACGAGGCAGTGTGGCTCCAATCCTTGATGGTAAATATTCCGAAAAGTCGTAGTTGTTAAAGTCAGCAAGTTCCATGTGATTTAAGTTTGATTGACGTATATTTCTGATTGACATTATTGGATGTTGAACATTTTCACGTCGTGGATTTTGTGATGGACAAATGATTTGTCTGATTGTTGAATTGCGTGGAACATTGCATGTAAACTCGACTAATTTTGAGGAAGTCATTGTAAATTGAACGGACAATGCGAGAAGTACAATGCAAATTGATTTCATTTTAATATTGATTATTAACTAGCACAAGATGTAGCTTCACTGAAAACTTGAATTGAACTGAATGAAATCAATCAATTAGAATCTAATGCAAATGCATGGAAATAAGTCATTTATGGTGCAATTAGAAGCTGATCTTTAATTGATGACACATTGTTTAAAAACAGGAACGCATTCAAAAAATGACAATTTTCTCCTGAGGAAGGTCAAAGGAAGGTCAAAGGAAGGTCAAAGCAAGGTCCCAAGGCCGAAACCATCCTAGACATGTAAGAAACCTTTTTCAAACCAAGGGACGTTTTAATGGTTTTGGATCCACAAACTGTGCTACTGTAGCTACTGAATAAAGCAGTGTTTTCAGTGTTTGCTAATTTTAATCGTGACACACCTGGAATGTTTTGGTGTGCCGCTAAATATAGTTTGAGAACCACTGGAATAAAGAGTCTCTTATTATCATTATAAAGTTTAACCTGTTCGCACCTAATTTCTTAATTCGACTTTTTTGGTTTTACTTTCACATTTTTGCTTAATTGACGTCTCAATGGAGAAGTGGTTCTTAAACTTTTTGGAATGTGACTGCAATTCTCTTAATCTCTCTCTTAAATTAACTGTGTCGCTGATTTTAAGCGTTTATCATGGATCGTAGATTGAGCGACACTGCATTAGACCTTCTAGATTCAATCCCGTTTTAAATCAATAAGCAGAATTTAGTGTCACACATTCAAGCTGTCTAATCAAGCATAAAATGAAATTATCATCATATTAATTATTATATTTATATTTTCATTAATTAAACACCAGACATTTAGTTCAGTTTTTTATTTATTATTAAATAACGTCAGAAAAGTACGCGAGAATAAATATTACATTAAAAATAAGGCATGGAAACTCACGTTTAATCCTGAAAAATCGCAAAAATCCTAAAAAATCCTTGAGGCAACAAACATAATAATGTGGAATCTCTTTTAAATCCAGAAGTTATTCATCAAATGCATCAGCAATTTAAAAGGGACTTCACATTTTCATATTTATTGGCTCAGGGATTTTTTAAGGATTTTTGGGATTTTTCAGGATTAATCCCGAGTTTCAACGTTTTGGTCAAAATGGAACTTATCCATACACAAAGTTGTTTATATGATTGAAAACTGGCCTCATCTATTAAGTTGACTGAATGTTTGAAATGGATTTGTCTTAATAACAATCTTTGATTTCCATTTTATAAAGGAAAGTGAACCACAACAGCATCAATTTGAATGCTAAGCCACTGTCGTGCTATTTTCTCAAAAATCAATGTTATATGAAGCTTGATGTCTATGATCCTACAATCTTTGTGAGTAATAAGTATCTGTGTTCTGTTAATACCTAAAAATCATGCTAGTACATGATCTGAATGGTAATTTTCTTCAATTCCGTTCACTTATAAAGTCCAAAATTAACGGTCATTTTTCAAAAAAGGACAGCAGATTTCCAGGAATTTCTATAGTTCTTTTCTTGCTGACACTCCTCTCCCTCCTCACAATCCCCACTTGGACGTCACAAGTGAACGACCTCTAACATAATTTGAAGAAAATTACTTTTTACTTAAAATCTGACCTTAAACTTGATGCAAAATCATCAAATCACTCACAATGACTTCTTTTTAATAAATTTTAGATTGCCTTGCATTCTCCATTCGAAGTTCCAGCTGAAAATACACCATTCTTTGACATTGGAGTTACAGATGAAATTGAAGCTTCTTACAACATGCTCGAAACTGTGTAAGTAAAATAAATTAATCATAAAGTGCTGAGTTGTCATATTCAGTTAAAGCTTTAAAGTTTCATTTTATTTCTAGAGCAAGTGATGAGCTCAGAAAACTACGAATCGCTCAACGGAAATGCTACTTTATTGACGAATCAAGTGACAATTTGCCAGTTTACAGTTTTAATGCTTGCAAAATGATGTGCCGAGCAAAAACAGCTCTTCGATTGTGTGGATGCAAACCTTACTTGTAAGTTTAAGGGCAGCTACATTGTGCTTAGCTTTTAAGGCTACCTTGAGAATTTATGAAGGTTTCTCGAATTTCATTCATAGCCGGGTCTTCTTAGGAACAAGCAATAGATGTCAAATTTAATATATATTTTCACTTCACAGTTATCCTTTCTTAAACGGAACAACATGCACAGCTTTAGGACATTTATGCTTGAATGTGAATCATTGGCCGATTGTTGCATCTTGTGACTGCTCAAAAACTTGTGTTGAGATTGTTTACACACAGAATAGTTTGAAGAAAATTAATTGGTGAGTGTTTTCGAGTTAAAATTAAATTTCATATTTCAAAGTTTTTCTTTTTCAAAAATTATTTATAAAATAAAATACAATCCTTAACAGGAACGTAGCCAGCGGAGGGATTTGGGTGACACTTTCAGATTCCTGGCTACATCCCTGATTTTTAGCAAATTCTAATCGTCTTCAATGTTAAAATAAATTTAAAAAAAAAATAAGCTACCGAACTTAACTTTTAAAAACCACAAACCTAATTTAAAAAACAAAATCAATTTTTTGACACACAAAGCTATTAAAATGATAAACCCTCCTGTTGCTATAGCAAATAGTGTCATTAAACTGAAGAAAATCTGTCGAACTTTTCTTCCCGATAGACAAACAATATTCAACATTTTTAGCAAAACTTGGTTCTCCCGTCAGCCAAGGCATTTTGAATGGAACTTTTCTTCCATTCTTAGTAAAATACCAATCATCAGGTGACTTTGGTGTCTTTGTGATTCCATCAACGTGCAGATAGAATGTTGTCTTGAAATTTTTGCTGAATTGGCTGTCCTCCCACAATTGTTGAAAGCTTGTGAACTCATTAAGGGTTTCAAATGTTGCTAGTTCCATTTCAAATGCTTTGCAAGTGACTTTTGCTGTCAGCCAATCGCCACGAAATCTTTGAGGAATGAAGTAGGTTTTTTGGTATTCATTAGACTCATTGGATCCTCCTGAAAGTGGAAATATATAAATTTTTTGTTCTAACTTCCAAATTGAGTTCTGATTGTGGTTTTGAATCACAAACAAGCTTATACCAAGGTTATAAGACTATATCCAATTAGAATCATTAACTTACTGTATGTTCCGACTTTAAGAAATGTTACATCATCTGATATGACAACTTTCATGGGAGTTAACAACTCGGTTGTTGTGGTTGATGAAGTTGTTGTCATATGAGATGTTGTGAATTTTTTTGTTATTTCATCTAGTCTTGTGGGATGTGAAAATGATCCTGTTGTGCTAGATAAAGTTCCCGCTTTAGGTTCAACAACAAAGGTTGTCGATGTTGTTTCTGGCATTTTTGTTTCAATTTCTGTTGTTACTTCATTTAAAGTTGTTGTTGTTATAGGCTCAGTTGCTGCTAATATTGGTGGTTCTGTCATTGCTGAGGTTGCTTCAGTTGTTGATTCAATCATCATTCTACAATATTGAAGATCAATCAAATTTGCTGGCGTTATGAATGGATTTTTAAAGGGTCTTGAAAATTGTTTTGTTGGTCGCATGCTGTTGGATGTGCTTAATATTTTTGTAAATGTTTTATTGATGGGAGTTGTAGTTACATTTAGAGTTGATTGAGGAACACTTTCGAATGATTTATTATATTTAATATCCAAATAATTATCTTCAGTTGTAGAAATGCCAGTTGTTGATGGAATTTTAGAGATATTTTCACATCTTGCTGTTTTAATTATGATAATCATAATCAAAATCCTTTTGAACGATACAATTTTTTTCATAATTCAAATAAATTTTGTAAATCTTTCAAATTATATTTTTAAATTTATTAATGAAAGTTAACAGATTTTTAACTATTTCGAGTAAAAATTAAGGAACTAATGTTTACAATATTCACAAGAATAACCAATTCATTAGAATCTTTGACACCGACTAAAATTAAAAAGTAAAATTTAAAGTTTATTTTATGTCCACTAAGCTTTTTATTATGAAGAAAAATAATAATGCTTAAATTACAATTTTAAATCTCGTGCAGATTGTTCATAAGTTTGAAATGATGTTTTCTAAGAATTTTGGTTAAAAATAAGACTAGCTTTTGTTTATTTTATTTGACAGTGAAATAGTAAAAGTTATGACAAATCAAGTTTGCTTGTCATTGAAATCGTGCTAAGGGATGATGGAGGTTAAAGGAAGTTTCGAGTTTTTTAACGACTCAAACCAAAGAAAATTAATTTCATGTTTTTTTTTTTTAAAATTTGGGGGGTTGCAATACTTGATTGTTTTTACAAACAAATGTTTTCTCAAGATTTTATAATTTTTGAAGCTATCAAATCACAAATTAATAACCCAATTTAAAACTTCGATATCTTATCTTACGCTGTTCATAAATTTATTTTTTCAAATTTGCTGGAAATAATTTTTATTGTCTCTTGATGAGAGTTAAGGCATTTGCCATCGATGTGGTTTCTGGGTTTCTAAAAACGAAATTTTTCTCAAGCCAAAGTTTTCTTAACCTGATTATTGCTTTAAGAGTCTAGTTAAAGGATAGCAATTAAAACATATGGAACTGACTTACTGGATTGTTTTTAAAACATCAAAAATAAATCAATATTAAGAACAATTGTTTTTGTTACAAATCTTTATTCATAATATTTTTAATATTTTGTTACACAATTTTTACTTCCTGTATAAAGAAATATTTAATTAAAACTGAAAAGAGTTTAGACACGTTAAACGTGTTTTTGTTTTCTTAGAGAAAAATAAGGAAAATATTTGTTCACATTTCTTAAAAATTAAAATATAAAACCCGTTTCAAATAATTATAATATCAATGAGGGATATAGTTGGGTGGGGTAGGCAAATCTATAGAAAATAAAATCAACTTAGAAGCCATTCACTTATGACATTCAGGGTGCGGAAGGGGAAGTCAGCATTCAGCAAGAAAAGAACAATAGAAATTCCAGGAAGTCCATTGTTCTTTTTGAAAAATGACCGTTAATTTTAGACGTCATAAGTGAACGACCCCTTAAATTAAAAATGCAAATTTGAATAATATTTTGTTCCGTCATCATCATCAAAAAACTCAAAACTTATGCTCACTTACGTGGTTTTAAAAATCGAATTCTAAAATGACAACAATGTCTAGCTGCTTAAAAATGGTTTTGATTAGAAATTGAAATTAAAATTGATAACAATCATGACTCATTAACTGTCTAGTGCCGTTTATAATTTTGAAAGTTACTGGAAAATTCTTGATAATTCTTATATTCGAGGTTTCTGGTTGTTTTGCAATGCTTAAGGGAGTCCAAGTTTTGTAGCGCATTAAATTAAGCTGTCCTGAATTTTTTAATTCTTAATTTAACGTCACAAAACATTCAGACAAACCTTTTTTGGTTGCTTGACATTACAGAGATTCATTCCTATGCACAAAGTTCTTTAAAGAACTGCTTACTCTTATGACATCTCTCAGACACACAATGTGGACAGCGAGTCAAGAACTTTGGATTAATCTTTTGATTGCCCTTCAAATGCTTATCAACAATATCAGTAATAGCATCAATAAACAATGGATGATCATTTGGTGCTGCAGCTCTCAAAATCTTCTCAACCTTAACTTCCTTAGCGAGGTCATGACAATATTCAATGTCAAGTTCGTGGAGTGTCTCAATGTGTTCATTAACAAATGCGATTGGAATGAGGACGAAGTTCTTTTTACCTTTTGCGGCATACATCTTAATTGCATCATCTGTGAATGGTTCGAGCCATGGAAGTGGACCGACTTTTGATTGCCACACGAGGCAGTAAGGATTACAATGGTTTAGTTCAGCCATAACAGCATTTACAGTTGCACCAACTTCACTTGGATATGAATCTCCACGTCTGACATTCTTTAAAGGCAATGAGTGTGCTGAGAACAGTAAAATGGCATCGTCACGCTTGTCATCGGTAAATTCAGCTAGTTTCTCCTTAATTCTTTCAGCAAATGTCTTGACAAGAAGATGATGAGTTGGCCATCGGTCAATCATGCTCCACTTAATGTTTTTGTTTGGCTTCTTGCCATTAAAATGTGTAAAAATGGAATTGAAACTAGATCCGGATGTAGCACAACTGTATTGTGGATATTGTGAGAAGATGACAACACGTTCAGGTCCGTCACTTTCGATTTCCTTAATTGTATCTTCTGTAAATGGTGTGACATATCGGAAGCCGACATAACTTTTATGTGGTGCTGTTTCAGGTGAGACTTGGTCAAGCCTATTGCAAAGAAGACTTCCTTGAAGTTGTGTCCATTTTAAAATTGGACTTCCACCACCAATTTCTTCATATTTCTTCTGTACTTCAGCTGTCCTTTTACGTGCTATATATGGTCCAAGTGTATCTTGAAATGGCAACTGCATCATCTCACGATCAGTCATAATTCGATGAAGGTAATCACCAACCTGATCTTTGGTCTGTGGTCCACCCATGTTGAGCATTAAAATGGCAGTTTTTGGTCTAAGGTTATCGCAATTTCTTGCTGATAACGAAAAATTTCTTGGCTTTAATAGTTGGTAGATGTTGAAGCCTTAAAGGACAAAAGTTATGGAGAAAATGATGAAATCTAAATTGACAGTCTGGTATTGCATGTGACTTACCATTTTGAGGAAGTTTTTGAATCCCACTGCGCATCATTTTGCTCAAATTGTTGTTAGTTAATCGAATTAATTGAAATTAATTTGTTGATTGTGTGGATTCGTTCCTGTCGTGCGAGGGGAATGGAAATAAGCTGTGCTATAGAATTCTCGTTGCTTAGTTTTGAATTAGTTGCTCAGTTGCTTGTGCAAACTTGTTATCTACGTGATTTTGAATGTTAACGAATGTGATGTGGAACCTGATTTTGCTTGAATGACATTTTTGCTGCTTATTTTATTGCAATTCATATGGATGATAACTAGTTTGGGTTATTTGCATAGCTTTTTATGGATGCTTAATTTAGTTTGGCTGATTTTAGAGATCGTTCACTTATGACGTTCTACATATTGAGGGGTAGCGGGTCAAAAACTTTGTGACAGGGGAAGGAGAGGGTCAGGAAATTTGTGACATCCAATTATAATAAGCAAATTATAATTTTTTTGTGTCTTGGATTGGACGTCACAAGGGGGGGTATGGTGGTATTGACAGCTGTGACATAGGGGAGAGGGGGTCTAAAATTTGATTTTTTGATGCATGTCATGAATGAACGGCTCCCTATGAATTTCATGGTAAACTATTCATTGGGGTCATTTGTTAACCGCTTGAAATTTATTTAATGCAATTTCGATGTAATTATTGATGCTAATTTTATTCTTTGTTCTAGGGCTGTTGATGGAGGTAAGTTAGAAAACACATAAATGGCACAAGTTGGTTAATCCAATATAAATCCGAAACCATGCCGGCATGACTCTGGTATGGTGCTGGCTTTGATTTAAATCACGTAACACGCCAGATTCACAGCAGCTTGGTGCCAGATTTCGGATCCTTTAACCGACTTGTGCTATTCGGGTCAATTAGATAAGAATTCATCTCATTCTTCCTCTTTTATTGTCTCTAAGGTGTTCCATTTGCCAGCAAGTCATCGTTCAGATATGAAATTATTGCACCTCGAATGAGATTGAAGAGAGATGTCTTGTTCAGCTATGAAGATTTGATTGTATCATTTGGTGGAGTTGCAGCATTGTTTTTAGGACTTAACTTTTGGGGATTGTCAGATTTTGCATTTTATTTGTTCGCATCGTTTGTTAAATATTTAATTTTTAAATTTAAGAAGTAAAATCATTGTGTGAGGGAAAATTAAGAGTTTAAATATTCTAAATAGTTTAATAGAATTTTTTGGTTTTTTTTTTAATTTGCTTTGCTGAGCATTAAGATAAATTCTGATCCACGCACTTTACAATTATCAAGTCAAAACACAGCAGTGTTGATACAAAGTTGCCTTTGTCCAGATTTTGCTTTTGATCCAGTAAAGTCATGCCTTTGAAAAGGCACAAAAAAAGCAAACGCAAAAAAATGCCTTCGACAAAGGCAAAGGCTTGTGCCTTTGATTTTAAATTGCCTCCGATGAAGTCCACCTTTTTAAAGTCAAGTGCTAGGTTTCAATACTGAAATACAGTTTATTATCTATCAATTCCTATCTTAAATTCTTCAACAGATTGATTGATCTTTTGCACTTTAACTGACGATGTGCATTTATTTCAGTGATTATGCAAGGAAAAGTATTTAATTCTAAAGAATTTCCCCTCCGATCCCTTTCCTCAATTTCCAAACTGATTTTTTTTTATCCTACAAATAAAACAATAAAAGAGAGTAATTCCTGAAAATTAATATTGTTGTCAACAGCTGGAGCCACGTGTTTATTCAGAAGGATTTGACATTTACTTGAAATATTTTGTTCAATTTATTGTTAAATTCTTCTTTGTGGAAGTAAAAATTGCTTTTAATCAAATTTCAACTTAGCTTCACAATTTTTGTATGTTTTTATTTATTTAAATTAAGATTCAACTTTCAGGATGAAATTGTGACATTGGAAATTTCATCACTAGATGCCGTTGATCATTTGAATCAATTTCTTAGAATTCGTTCATTTCTTGTATCAAAAATTGTTCACATTCACACAAATTTCCAAAATTATTAACACAAAGCAAATTTTCCCCAAATATCATAGCTGGTGGACGAATATCCTAATTAAATCCTCAATTCCTCAACCTCTAGATGTCATGACACTCGCAAGGATTTCACGGAAACTCTCTCGAATCCTTAAAACATCTCATCATCCCCTCCACAAATCCTTTTTGTTTACAAACCATCGCACAGCCGTAAAATACGTAAAAGAACACTTTTCGCCGCTGCACATGCTCACAACTCCAACAATTTTAATTTTTCGTCATCATCATCATCATCATTTCCGTACATACATAAATGAAAAATCACATCCATTCATACACATAGTAAAAGCATTTTGAGAGAAAATGGTAACTAGGAAGTATCGTCTGGACGCGGTAGAAGCTTAAAAATCAATAAAACCGCACAACGAAAACTTTCAACAACAACAAAAAAAATTTATTTTATTTACTTCCGTGCATTTCCCTTTTTCCAGTGTGTTAGTGCAAAAGCTTCTTCCCGTTATGCATGTATATGCCTTGTCTGGGTCATTGACATGATGATGTGCTTTTTATGGGAATGAGGAAGTAAAATCGGGTGGCATTCGTTTTTCTTCCTCTTCCTGTCTTTTTTCTCGTTCACCTTTTTCCGCATTTTCATTTCTCATTTCTCTTTGTTCGGTGCTGCTGCTGCTAGCTTGCTACTACTACTACAACCACTATAGCTGCTTCCTTTATGCTCATGGGTGGTAATTGACAGGATGAAAAATTCACTCTTTGTTCAATGAATTTTTGCACAGCAATAAGACTGAGGATTTTTAGACATTAAGACGCATTTTTTTTTGGGTGTGATCGATCAGAGGAGGACCTGATGGTTTTCAGGTACTTTTTTGGAAAATTCAAGTACCAGCTATTTACCATAAATTTTGCCATAAAATTTATTGTTTTTACCACAAACTAGAGCTTTTCATCACAAGCTAAAGTTTTTCACCACAAACTTGAACTTTTCACCACAAAATAGAGCTTTGCACCACAAACTAGAGCTTTTAACCACAAGCTGGAGCTTTTCACCACAAACCAGAGCTTTTAACCACAAACTAGAGCTTTTAATCACAAGCTGGAGCTTTTCACCACAAACCAGAGCTTTTCACCACAAACCAGAGCTTTTCACCACAAACTAGAGCTTTTCACCACAAACTAGAGCTTTTAACCACAAACTAGAGCTTTTAATCACAAGCTAAAGCTTTTCACCACAAAACTGAGAAAAATGTTAAAGAAATCTCGAAAACTCTGCAACATCAAAAATTATTCAATTGATTCAAAATCATCTCAGATAAACATCCCATCACATAAACATAGCTTAATAGCATTAATATTATCACCCTTGTTCGCTTAATAGACAAAATGACTCCAAAGCAACATTTTGCTCAAATAAAAATGCTAGCAAAAACATGAAATAAAGGAAGCAAAACATTTTTTTTACCAAGAATGATTAAAACAAGATTACTGAACATTAAGATAGGGTTACCATCTAATTTACATGAAAATACAGGACATTTGACAAAATTCCTTAAAAAATACAGGACATAGAATAAAATTCGAAAATTAACGGAAATTTTCGTGAAAAAAATACAGGACCTGGAACAAAGTTTTCAAATTTATACAGGACAGCCTTGAAAAATACAGGACTGTCCGTTGTAAAACTACGCAGATGGTCACCCTACATTAAGATGAAGGAAGGAGTTCTTTGTTTCAGACGAGATATTTAAAGAATTTCAAAAAAGGTAATTAAGAGTTCAGAATTATTTTTATTGTCTTTAAAATATGTTTTTACTGAAAAGAAAAGCTTTAATGGATTTCTTGATGAAAACATAAAAAGGAATTTTGATGATTTTTTTTTAGGTTGGGACTAAGTTGTTGTTATTTAAAAAATTAGAGATATAAAAGCTTTTTTGACATGGTTTTGAAGAACATAGAAGTTATTCTCAGTTCAAGAAGCTGAATAATTCGTCAATGTAGTCAAAATGTAATTTTCCAGTATAAAAAGACAGCATAGACCTTAAATAATGAAATTCATGGCATACTGATGCAACACTGGTTCTATAACTGATTATTCAACACTTTGTCGCTATGTGCCTTACCAAAGCGCTCATATGTTTCGTTAAAAAGCACAAAGAGAATTATGAAATGAATTATGGAGCCGTTGTGGTTTTACTAGCTCTATTCTAGCCGTTCAAGCCTAGACCTTGATTTTTGACAATATTATTAAGCTAGTTCAGCTTATTTAATATGAGAACAACCTATTAAAAGCCATATTTCAATAACATCATGTCCAAAACAGCTCATCATCCTCAAAACTTTTACCGGCATTGAGAATTCCGCACGATTGAATTTAAGAAAAATTGTGAAACATTTTCATCATTATTATGATTTACATTTGATGCGTTCACAACCATATTTACGGTTGAGAGGCTTTCAGCAATAAAAATGATTCAACATTAACATTGTAGGCAAGTTGAATGTGAAAGAGCAGATGAAATTGAGGAAGATGAATGATGGAAACTCATAAATCATATTTTTTTCTGCTTTGTTTTCGTCCTCATTTCATTTTATTTTCTCATTTAACGCGCCTCACTTCCTGTAAAATTGTGATGGAACTATGGCGTGCTCTTTGTGTAAAATCTACATCAATGGATAATGAAAGTTGAGAGGAAAATTGCGAGCATTGGATAGGAATTTTTTTTTTAAAGGCGGATATTTATTGTGAGGATTAAGAGAGAGCATTAAACTTACAAAAGGGGGGAATGAACTTATCTCGATGTGTGTTGATGCCTGGTTTTTATTGTAGGGTTAAATATTAATAAACGCTTGAAATGTTTTTATGGGGATGAAATGAAGTTTTGGGAAGCTTTTTCAATAAATTTGATTAAGTTTCCTCAACAATCCGCAAAACTATCTACAATAGTGCCGTTAACTGCACAAATCCAAAGTCAATTATACTGAAACATGAAGTCGATTTAAATCAATTGAACTAAAGTTACGCAGCTACAATGACGCTTGTAATCAACATGGAAAGAATAAAATCATGAAAAGGTGGAAGCAACAGTAACAAAAGTAATTTTTCATAGCTTTTCATGATGAAGTAATAAATAATGTTTTATTCAGCGTTCTTTATTGTTAATGGAAAATGCTCGAATTCATATGCTGTTATGAATTTTTTGTCAGATTATTATGAGATTGATTTGTTGAATATGATTGGGAGTTTTTTTTAATTTGGACCTTTAGGCAGGGTGACCATCTGCGTAGTTTTACAACGGACAGTCCTGTATTTCAAAACCCTGTCCTGTTTAAATTTGAAAATTTTGTTCCAGGTCCTGTATTTTTTTCACGAAAATTTCCGTTAATTTTCAAATTTTCCTTTGTGTCCTGTATTTTTTAGGAAATTTATCAAATGTCCTGTATTTTCATAAAAATTAGATCGTCACCCTACCTTTAGCTCGATAAGGAATGATCTGTGATCAAAAGTTTAAGGCGCATCAAGTTAAAAACAATTAATTTTCATTCAGCTTGTTCCTAAGTAACCTAACCTCTAACCTTTTCTCCTCCAAAACTGGAAAATGTTTAGGAGTCGTTCACTTATGACGTCCGAAATGAACAGTCATTTAAAAAAAATTAGTAGGAAGGTTCTTTTCGTGATAACCCCCCCCCCCCTACTCCCTTTCTGGATACGTCATTAGTGAAAGGCCCAATAGGGAGCTCAGATTTGACTTCGTTTTGTGCTGACTGAATAAGCTTAACTGATCTTCTAGCTGCTGATCTTCTTCTAGCGGTTTTGCATATCGAACGCTGATCTCCGACTCTTGAGGTATTTCTTCAAATTTAATTTTGCCAAACTTCAGGCATATCTTAATGTTGGGATAGTCAAATACTTTATTTCAGAAAGGCTTAATCTTAATCTCCTGTGAAACATAGCTTCAACATTCCTTCCTCAATACTAAATACAAATTGAAACTAAGACCTTTTCGAACTTTCAATGAGTTGAACGTGGTCTTTTTGGCATAAATCAGTGTTAAATGATACTATAATAGATATATGCACGACTGTAAGAGTTTATATAATAATAATGTGTGTAAAGCTCAACGTTTCAGTTGGAGCCACTGCTATTCAATTTGCT